GGGGGGCTCTCAGCTGCACTGGTATGAATATGACGCAGAGGCAGCAGCCAGAGCCACTTCTCTCCTCTCCTTTCGAGCCCCATCCCTCCATACCCACCGACAGACAGGAGAGAGGGGAGAGAGAGGGCACTGTATCCATGGCAACGGCAGAGCAGCGGTAGGTAGCAGTTAGGGAGTGTGCTGGGGCACAGTGGTGTTCCTTTCTTTCCCTGTCTCTCCAACACACAGACAAGCTCATAAGTCCTACAGCTCCCACAGATGTACAGTATACAGCCGCTGACACGCTGAAGGAAAACACAGAGGAAACGTGGGCAGCACTGACTCATTTGGACATGACAGATAATGAGAAGCAGACTGTTTGGGTCTGTTGTGTCTCAGGAAACTTGGAAAACTGGGGCCAGAGAAGGTTTATTATACTCTAAATGCAGGGGGGGGGGAGACAACTGTCAGCATCAAGTAATGAAATTGTTGTCTTTTGTGTCAAGACATGGATAATATGAAACACTGCAAGTGCAATAAGGCCAGAGCTTTGCAGTGATGCCAACAAGTGAAGCTGATGACAATCAGAAAAATAAACAGATTCCCTGGCGTTCAAGTTGAAAGACAAACATGTGGCAAGCAGAGACATTACTGTAGGAACAAATATGCAACCCTCCTTTCCAGACATTGTTTTTTCTGTCTATACCTACATCTATTTAGCATATAATTTTATGTAGAAAAAAACAGTCTAAACTTTAATATCCATCTCACCCACAGATATGTTGACAAAAAAAGCAAGGAGATGAACTGCAAGCTTTTCAAACACTAAAAAAAAAAAGCAGTAGGCCTACTTCAAACTACTACTACTACTAGAACTGTCAGAGACTGCATACCTTAACCAAGGCTGAAAATTCCCTCCACATCATGCACAAACATATTTGTTCGGTGTGTTTTCTCAGGAACATCAAAACCCAATTTCAAATTGATATCCATGTTTTCCCCTCAGCTGTAAAAGGCTGATGGAGTATCGTCGTCACCCTGCCGGGCAGGCCAGCAGACAACGTTGACACATATGTTTGTGGATGCGAGACTCAAAAAAGGAGACGGTGTAGGAGTTTCAAACTGATACCTGGTCAGGGTAAGAGGTCAAGTTTTCTGAAAATCTTGTGAATGTAGCAAAGACAGAGGGGGAGCACTGGTGGTTGTCAGCATTTTTTTTTTGTTTTAGAGGGATCAGTGTTTCATTAACATGCCATCTGAAACACAAATGAAATACAACTTTAGTAATATTTGTCCAATCTTTACACTTGCATGACATCAGACATACAGGTTTAAGGTTTCACACTCCAGCATCATTCATATATTGAGTTCATTTGCAGCCACTGCCATTACAGAGCAAACAATTAGTTTGGTTAAGTTAATTAGGGTAACTGGTTTTATTACAATTTAACACACTACAAGGTATTCTAACTGATGTGCGCACACATTTGATTTATAGAAGGCACTTTTTTTTAATTACCTGTGTGAGTGTCCAGCCTCCTGCTCCAGTCCCTCCTAGTTTTAGCAGAACAAGATTGAGGGTGGAGCTAGTTGTAATGTAGAGGAAAATCATTATGGACTGAACCATCTGCTGTCACAGTCTGGGGCTGACAGGATTTATTTTAATTCCTTTTAGTCATTTGGTCTGTATTTTCCCCCTTTGCATTTAAAATGGTTTAATCTGCTAGTATATAGGTTGAGTTTGTTAGCAAGGGTAAAACAGTTTTTCTTGTTTTGGGTTTTTGAGGTTGTAGCTCTGTCTGTATGTCCTTTAGCTGAGTGGTTTCTTACAAGGGGAAACAAATCATGATTCAGTATATGTGAATTGAAGTTTGGTTTAACACTGAAAAACAGAACCCATGGCATGAAGTCAACACGGTAACCTAAATGACTCTCAAACATTTCTAAAACGAACATTGTTTCCAGTTGAGTTTCCAAGCAAATATAAAAAGATCTGAATATATATGGGTTTTTTCAAACAGTTCAGTTGGCAGTGGCTAAAATGCAGTTTCTTGCTTCTTTCCCATCTGGCTCCCACAGTTTTAGCCTATAATTACTTTCAGTGACCGTGGAAACAAGGAAGTAGGGAGAGCTTTCCAGGACTTGAGGGCACTTGTGTAGCTGTTTTAATGTGAACATTTTTTTACATGGACACAAATATCAAATATGCTAACCACAGCCACTGCAAAAGAACAACAATCTTTCCCTAAATAGACTCATCTACCACTTTGTTAGGTACATCTTGCCAGGTTGGATCACCTTTACTCATTTTTCACAGCATAGATTTACAAGGTGCTGCTGATAGCATCACACAGTTGGATGTTAAAGAAAGTAATTTGAGCTTTAATTTGGCACATTATCCTCCTGGGGGTAGCCATAAGATAATTGGGTACATATAAACAGTTGAACATGGTCAGCATCAATGCTAAGGTACTCCGCAGCTTTTTAAGGATGGTCAAGTGGTAGTAAGGTGACCAGGATGGATCCATGCTTTCATGCTGTTTATGCCAAATTCTGACCCTACCATCCAAATGCTGCAGTAGAAACTGAGACTCATCAGACCAGACAACATTTTTCCAGTCTTCTATTGTCCAGCTTTGGTAAGCTCCTGAAAACTCTTGCCTCAGTCTCCTGATCTTTAAGCAGCACCTGGTGTGCTGCTTAAATCACCTTCCTTCCCATTCTGATGCTCGATTTGAACTTCAGCAGGTCATCTTAGTCATGTCTACGTGGCTAAATGCATTGCACTGCTGACACATCATTGACTAAATAACCTAATAAAGCGGCCGGTAATTTACATCTATGTTTTATCGACATAGCACGTAACATATTGGGTCAAGTGATGGGGACAATCACTCAAATCGCATAACTGATGAAGATTTTGCAGTAAAGTCACGGGCTCTTGTCAGACTCTATTTTCGGATTTTAAGTTATGGTTTTTGTAACACACTCTTTAGAATAATCCACGTACACAATCAAGTTTTCACAAAAGATTACCACTACGACAACCTCGCTCAGACTAACCAAACACCACACTGCAGAGACGTAGTGCTTCCCCTCAGAGCTTTGGTGACGTGAGTAAAAGACGATGGTGGAAATCTTTTGTCATGCGAAGTAATAAATGAAAGGCACAAGAAGATAGGCAAAACAGAGGGAGCGATTAAACTGGGTCAAATACAAAAGTGGGGGTGATGTGTTTCTCATTAGGATTCCTATTGCATTGGCAAGGAAAAGCCATAGGCAATTCCCTGTGTCTCAAAGGTAGAAATGGATTAAAGGTGAGCCCAACCACAAGCACACATGTGCACATTCTGTGGTCTTCCATTGTGGTTTGCTTCTCTGTTTGTCTGTATTTCAGATGCATTCTCTTCTGTGATAAATAAAACCGCTACATCTTCACAATCTCATTGGTAAAATGTTTAAGTCTTCCTTTTTGAGAGGCATCCTTATTGTGGCTGACCTGTTCAGTCCAAAACTAATGTGGTTACTTTGAGAAAACATTCTTACCAACAGCACGCTAAAAGACATCACACAAATAGTTTGGGACATGTGGGGTGAAGGATGGGGCCTCACTTAATCAAGCTTGTCCTGGTGCATCCCGTCGTTGCTCAGTTGAATCGAGATCTTAGGAGTTTGCAGGTTAGGACAATGCCTCTGTCTTCCTCCACAGGTCATTTCTCAGTCAGGTGTTTCTCATATTTCTAATGCTCCATACTGTGTAAACACAACAGACAAGCAAAGTCAAAACTAGGAATAGTCACAATAAAATAAAATAGAATATGAAAACAATTAATAATAGCAATATAAACCATGTTAAAAACCAGATTTAAAAAAAAAACAACATAGCAAAACAGATAATTAAAAACGGGTAATGAAAGAATAATAAGATATTATTTCAACAAAAGGCCAGGTTGAACTGAAATGTTTTCCACTACTCTACTCAATATGACCAACCCAGATTGGGTTAGTCATTTTGGGCAGTTATTTTGAAGGATAATCTGTATTAACTTCATTCTTATGGCCATTGAAACATAAATTCTAGAGCACAACTGATATATTGGCCAATAATAGTTTTCTGCCGATATACCACCATCTTTGGCCTATAAATCAAAATTTTAAAAGTAAAGGAGAGACTTCAACTATATTATCAATGTTGTTTCATATTGTGTCCACCAGAGGGCACAAACAACAACCAGGTCATCCAAAGTAATTCACAAATACATTACCACCACATCTTAGTACAGGCTTGTAAATAACCATACATAACAAATGTTTAGGGAAGTCTGTTTATGTTTCTTCTGTCAGAAAGAAAAAAAAATATAGGCCAATATATGATATTTAAATTATACTAGATATTGGCATTGGTATCGGTCTCATAACTCATATTGTTTAGGCTGTAATTAAAAACTGCACATAGTGAATCAACAGTGCATCAGTAAGTCCGCATTTTAGGTTAGTATCTCAAAATTTCAATGTAATATTTCAAAAAATGTAAAGATACACAGTAAGTAAGCTGAAATTTTGAGATAATAACCTGATATTATTCACTGGCAAAAACAAGCTCCCCCCCCCCCCCAAAAAAAAAAAAAAAAAAAAAAATACAGTTTGGCATTGTTATTTCTATCGTCATCTTTGACGCATAAGTACCAAACCTCTCTTGTAGCAAAGAGAGACATTGTAGCACTTTGGACTACACCTGTTATCTGTTGCAACTGACTATTCATTTATGAGGCTGAAAACGTGGGTAGCGAGCTAGTTTGGAACTACAGGAACTACA